CTATCGATACTAACCCTTCAGTAACGATACCAAACCATTGATATCGATACCCATCTATTGATATCGATACCCCCTGTCTGACGTGGTTGTTGGGTTAAGACAGTGTCGATACTCTGGGTTGAGTATCGATACTTAGGCGAGTATCGGTACCAATTTTAGGTTCGATATTTAAAAAATTCCCAGTATCGTTACCCCTATGGGGAATATTTATACTCTTGCCCTGGTATCGATATTCAATTAATGAGTATCGATACTCAATTAATGAGTATCAATACTATACTTATAAATCTGCCTAATTTATGCTTGACTTATGACCAATATCGATATTGTTCATGCAATATACAGTATTGATACCGTCGTTGTTGGATGCTTTGTTTTGAGCATGAAAATCATATATTTTTATTTCCAAACACCTCATTGAGGTCCCCAACTGATGAATAAGTGTTTTATTTGATTTTAAGGGTCAAAAAGAGATCCTTAACATAGTGAAAACACACAAGCGATACAAACTACAATGAACAAGCTTTAAGCTTATGCAACCTACCAAATTTCATATAAATGAGCTACACATGGTATAGGTGAGTTAGAGACAAGTTACATGTGTGCCTAAGTTGCAGAAGATGTCAAGGGCTTAACCCAAAGTGAATTTTTCTTTCCCTTAGCTTTGGAGCTTTCTCCAACCTCTTTTTCTAAACAAGACAAATGCAATGGTTACTTATAAAGGTATGAAAAAACTTATAAAGGTATAAATTTCTTAAAACTCGAATTGAAACCCAAAGGTTTCCTAAACCCTCCTTAAACCCATTTTCAAAAATTATGGCCAAACCTTGTATTTGGGAGCTTGAATTGAAGCTTAAGATAAGAGTAATTTGTTGCTTACCTTGGCTCGTTAAGAAGTGATGGGAGTAAACTAAAGTTCATTCTTTTAGCTTGGTTGCTCAAAAGAAAATGAAGAAGATGAATGAGAGAGTTTGGGAGAAGAATACAAGGAAAAGTTGAGAAAAAGAGAGGGAGACAACGTGAGATCACCACAATTAAGGGCTCTTAAGTTTTTCCTTTAAAATTTGGTCTAATTACCTTTTGATCCCTCCCTATACTTTTGGGATGCAACTAAAATACCCTTTTTACTCTTCATTGGGCTTGACACAAGCCCAAATCCATCTCAATTTGGATCAAAACTTCTTTTAAACTAAGGAATTAATTCAAGGCCCAACCCGGGATGGCCCAAAAGTCCTAACCCGAGATCTGAGGTGTTACATGTTGTGCTTGGATAACGTCCATGTTTCGTCGATCCAACGTAGGTCAGACGATGAATGAAATATTCATAAGCGGAGGATGACATATAAAGAGTTGCATAACGGATGCTGATATATCTGCAACAATCTGGTTTATTTTCGGTTATATTTTATATGTGGCTTCAAGTTGTATCTAATGTTGATTGAGGCTCTAATCAAACGTTAGAGGCCCGAGACACACATGTTCATTTCCCTGAGTAGTGAAGCGACGATTACTTTGGAATATGTCACTTACTAACTCAACGTTCCTGTGAATGAAGCCCATGTGGTGAGCCATAACATTTACGACCCTATTAAGTTATTATAAGAAGTTTTTGGAAAATGGCCACCATCCGACGTCATCGAGGGCTATAGGGTACATATAACATGGTTGGAATAAGAATTTCAATTAACGACCGAGTCTATCGAGGAGGAGGTTATTTTTGCGTCCCAAAAATTTCTTCTCCAAGTGATCAGATGGTATTATTACCAGACAAATTTGATAATTTGGTGCACATTAAGTGTCTGAAATATTTACAAGACTTCGGTGTGTGTCGTAATACCAGTTGGGGCTCGACTATTATAGCATTTATGTACTGGGAGCTTTGCAAGGCTGCAATTGTCCAGCCAGATTAAAAAGCCAATGTAGCAGGTTGTCTGATACTGTTACAATTGTGGGCTTGGTATCAATTCTCGTTTTTATGCTAATTACATCAGCCCCGATCGAGTTTCCGTTGGCTGCAAGGTAATTATTTAACCATTTTTTTAATTTCATAAATTTAATTATTTTTTATTTGTTTATAATATATTTTTTTTCAATATTTCAAATAGCGTCATAAAATATCCAAACGAAGTTAGCTGGTGCCACTACACGAGATATACGGATGAGGATCGACATTGCCGGTCAATATGTGGTATGACATATAGTTTTTTATTATTTGTTTGAATCTTTTTAACTTTATATATACTAACATTTATATTTAATATTTACAGTTAACTTGGCTTCCTTATGTTGACGATGGGATCAACCAGTTACTGCCAAAGTATTTTTTAGGGATCCTACTTATGATGTGTTGTGATGTTGTTATTACATTCGATTGTTGAGTGGCACGCCGCTGATAGAGTGATGCGACAATTTGCATCGCACCAGCTAATTCCTATGCAAATGGTTGATATAGATGCACTCCATACAATCGATACGCATGGGAAACATAACAAAAATTGGTAGGTGAGGCACGCTTACTATATCGACTTATGGAATCAATATGAATTATCACTCCCACGTGTCACGACATTACACCTTGGACTTAGATTTCGACTATTCTCCCTATCTCCAAAATTGCAAAGCAAATGTGAAACTATATATAACGACACCGAAAAAAGATGGGAGAATCGTAACATCATCAGGCCACATACGCCAAGTCTAAGAATAAAACATCATTGTCGTCTTCTTCCGCTTCAACATCTACAGCTGAAAAGTACTATTATGCATCTCAGACTAGTTTCAGTTTTTATCCTCTATTTTATACTTAGTCGAGACTCAACCGAATTGGTTTGGAGGTTAATGGGATGCACCGCATTACACTCAAGCGTCTTCGACAGAACATGCGGTTGCGGGTAGGATCATATACTTTATGGTTAACAAAGTAACAACCAATTCAAATTAGTTACGGCAATGATAGCGTCAAATACTATAAGTCCATCACCGTTTTTCGAAGGTATATCGCAAAACGTGTTAAGTACATTTCCTCGACGATCAAGGCCTACGACCACGTCGTACTCGACGAGCCTCGTGCCATTATCATTCGACCACTCCTCGACATCGTCAATAACTTAGAAAATATAGATAAATTTTTCTTTGTAGTTTTTCTGTAGACAATTTATTTTTTTGATTATTTATTTACTTTGTATTTTTTAAAATATAAATAAATTCATTTTTCTTTTAATTCTATTTTTTTTTAAAAAATTATCTGACAGAACTCTTCACCTCGAAGTGACGAGTTCCAAGTGACCATTGTTGATCGTTTCCTTGTCTGCCCGTTGACCAACGACTACAAAACAACTAGTTTTTTTTTAATTTGAATGAACTTCTCACCTCGAGGTGACGAGTTTCATCTATTTTTTTTAATTTATAAATTTTATTTTTATTTTATACTTTAAAAATTAGTTTTTAAATAAACTCATCACTTCGATGTAATGAGTTCCATGTGCACGGTAGCAATTACCATATTTTTCAAAATAAAAGCTGAGGCCCAAAACCCTAAATAATTGATCAACAAGGGGTATTGGGGGCAAAAAAAAACATTTGTGGAGTACAGAAAAGTCCGTTGGAAATACTCTGCTCCGGTTATGGGCTTCTTCAGCTCAATAGCTAGTAGCCGAGCCATCTGAAATAAGCAGGTTGGGTTACAACTTTGAGTGAGGATCTAAAAGATGCTGATGCAAAGCTCATCACTGTTTTCATCGAATCCTGCGTGTGTAAAAGCACAATACAACGCATCCTCCGTCGATTCCAATCCCATGGCTGCCACCGTTCCCGGCCCTAAATGGGCTCAGAAGACCATTACTCTTCCCATCGGCGAGGCTGCCATCTCGTTACGTCCCAGGTAACCAACATGCCTGCTCCTTTTTGCCTGCCAATAATTCCATTTCGTTTACCTTTAACCTTGCTTTTGGTAATCAGATATTGAAGGAAATTAGACCCGATTTGTCAGAATTTAAGTGTGGCCTTGCTCATCTATTCCGTGAGTGTGTCTATTTCTCTCCCTCTGCATAATGATTATTATTTTTATACTATATATTTACATATTTTCGATTTCACAATTCCAGTGCAACACACAAGTGCTTCTCTTACCATCAATGAGAATTATGACTCGGATGTTCGTGAGGACACCGAGACCTTCCTCAATAAAATAGTTCCAGAGGTATGGGGATAGCAGAATGCTTAGTTTTTTTTCTTCTTCTTTTAAATGGTGCTTGAAGCTTTGATCTTCGTTTTGCAGGAAAGGTCTGCGCCTTGGAAGCATACGCTTGAAGGTTTTTTTCAGTTCATATTTACAAATCTAGACTCCTTGCTCTTTCAGCTATACTCTAATGATATAACTTGAACCCTGCTCCTGCTTCTTCCCTTCCATGTCAGTTTCTTCATATTTAAGTTTCATTTTAATCTTTTCAGGCCCTGATGGCATGCCCGCCCACATCAAATCATCAATGTTTGGCTGCGCCCTAACGTAAGTACATTTCAGTTTGATAAAGATTCCATTTTTTGTTCTTTGAATTACTTCATATTCACCCAATCTTTATGTTATTATTCTACAGGGTTCCTATTACAGATGGAAAACTTAACATGGGAACTTGGCAGGTACATCATGTTCAGCAAAATGTTGACAATGATCATATCCAACTGTGAATATGATCTTTATAAGCATTGAGAACTTGGATGTTCTCACTTCTCATGCATTGCATCTCTTGCTCTGAATGCCCTTTGATTAATTTGCTCCGAGACTGCTAAAACTTGGGTTACATCTTGTTTGAATTTGCTTTCCAATTTCCCCTCTTAACAAAATTGTCCAATTTTTTGGTCTGTTATGCTTTAGGGATTTGGCTTTGTGAGCATCGTGATGCTCCAACAGCTCGTCGAGTGGTGGTGACCCTCAATGGCAACTGAGGTACTAAATATGGAGATGCTCTCTTCTCCTTGGGCTTTGTAATGGTATTGTATTTAAGATCACTAGCTTTAATTTGTTGATGGGATATACTAATACGAGCTTGAATGCTATAAACTGTATGTTGCTTTGTCGAAATAACATCGACAATAAGATGATATAGCATTGAGTTTGTAATGAGTTGTGATCGACACTTTCTACCTAAAATCTGTTTAATCATATCATTTTAGGTTGTACTTCCTATTCTCTGCTCAATAAATTTCTCTCTAACCTTAGGTTCTTTGCAATTGTAATGGTCCAACAATCTGTGAGTAAGCTCTTCTTTTTTCCTTCTATCCTTTTGCATTCGATGAATCCCCCCCCTCATTTTTTGGTTTAATTTTATACGTGTAGTCTACTTTTGTTGTCATCTTGAAATGCCAACTGAAAATCTCAACTATTTGTTTCAAGAGTGTGGGAGCTAATTCTCATGAACATCTTGGACTACTGTAGTGATGACATGCTAGAACAATACCAAGATTATATGCTAATAAACCCTAGAAATCTATCAACAACCATAATCCAATCAGCCAATGCTAGGTTATTCAACGAAGAAAAACAAGAAATAATAATGTAAAGAAATTATTTTTTGAAAAATTCAGTGTTATATTTTAAAATGATATAAAAATAAACCCATTTTTAGTAATTTATCTTTTTTGAATGAAATTTATAAAATCATTTTGTAGTTTTGATTTAATATTTACATTTTTCTTCATCTTGGTATTAAATGACACGAGTGTTAAAATCATTGCCTGAAATTTCTACCATATCAATTAAGATGCGTCCTATAAATTTTATGTTATGAAAAATACAACCTTATAATGTATCTCTATTAAAGAATATTATTTTATGGAATAAATTTTTAATTAAAAATGAAAATTATTCCCATAAATTAATGGTAACATATACATATTTTAAAAAATTGACATGTTGATTAAAAAAATGACATTATACGAGAAGGAAAGATGTTTGAATAAATTTTCGTTTTCTCCATTTAAGTTTTAAAAGTAATAAACTAGTTACCAACGTTATCGATTTGTAAAAAATATCACCAATGTTATTGATTTGTAAAAAATATCACTAACGTTATTGATTTGTAAAAAATGGTCATGTCGTCAACTCTGTTAAATTGATGATGCGAAAACGTTACTAAAAAGGTTAATATTTTGTTTTACCCATAAACTATTAAAACATCAGCATGTCCTTTAACAATGGTTTTATATCTAATTTATTCCAAAAGCTTTCTAATTTTCAACTTTTTAAAATACTCACTATCTCAATTATATTCTAACAACTTTCCTTACAAAACCAAAACTACACTTAAACAAATTCTTGCTTGCTAGTTTGATTCATTTGTTACTGTCATTGGCCTAGGCATTAATTTTACTCGAAAGCTATAGGCATTTTGCATCTTTGATCCTTACTCCCTGCACTGCAGTTGTATCTTAGTTTGCTTAATGCTTAGCATACCTTTAATGGAGGATATGTAATTGTTATGGTCGGAGAAGAAGAAGAACGGCAAGGAGAGGATAATTTGGGAATGGACGAGAGAGGGGAGAAATTGGGAATGGATGCGCAAGGGTCAGGGATTGGAAAATGTAAATTGGGAATTGAAGCACGTGAAGGGCATATGATTAACTTACCGGATGAGTTGGAGCAGGCTGAATGGATCCAGGAAGAGTTGGAGCAGTCCGAGTCAAAAGGCCAATACCTGCATAAGAAAGGAAGGGATAAGTAGAGTTGTTATAATATGTTATAAAGGACAACCACCTGGCATTATTAGAATTACCGTACAACCATTGTAACTAAATAAGACCTGACTTGAGGCATTTTCTTCCTCATGCAATGAATGAATGACTATTTTCTTCTCTAAATTCTCTCATTCTCTTCTCGTATCTTTCTTTGTTTCTCTCATTCCATAACAAATTGGTATCAGGAGCCTTAATTCCTGGAAAATTGCAGACTGTATATGCAAAAGAAGAACCACACCATGGTAGAATCTACTGATCTCTCTGCCATCAAAAAGCAGATTGAGGACTTAAAGAAAATAGTGCAGCAAGCAAATGAGGAAACCAACCCTCCCAAGTGGTGGGAGGCACAAGATAAACGTATCAGTTCATTGGAGTCTAGGATGACAACGACTCAAAGCTATATGGAGCATATATTGGGGATGTTGACAGGGAGGACGGAGGAGCAAGTCCAAAACAACCCTGGAATTGAGCAGATGTTACATATGGCAATAGAAGATACAAAGGATAGGTATCAAGTGTTCGATAAATTGCCAAAACCAAAGGTAGATATACCAGTGCAGCAAAGCTACTTGTGGTACAGTTCAAGCAGTGGTGATTCTGATTCCCAGGTCACCAGACTCTACAAAGACAAAGAGCAACCTGTAGCAGGAAATTACTATCCAATTAACCTTGGTAAGAAATTTGAACTATCCATGTTGGTTGATCGTGCCACAGGAGGATCAAGTATTAAAGATGGAGAAATAGAACTCATGCTTCACAGGCGAATGATTGCTGATAATTCCAAAGGAGTAGGCGAAGTCCTTGACAAAAGTGTCTCTGCGGGAACCACAAGCGAGGTACTTGATTTTCAATATGATGAAACAATGAGTATAGGTTATTTCAATGCCATTGAGACTATAAAGAACTATGTAGAAGATGATGACCCTTACAAGTTTAGATTGTTGCTAATGAGAATTAATGCACTAGTAGAGGTCAAGAAGATAATTGGAAAGGGAAGTGGTTTTGTTGCTGTGGAGATTCCATTTACTTTTATTGCCAAATGTATTTTGGAAATTTCGTGGGAAGAAGCCCGCCAACTTGGCCATGACATATTAATCCTTGGGCATACTATGGTTATGAACACTTTGCAGGGTGAATGGGTCCCTGTTGTTGTTGATGACTGGATTCCATGTGAATCACCATGCGAACCAACATTTACGACCAGTAAGAAGGCTAATGAATTATGGGTTTCTATATTGGAGAAGGTATATGCAAAATTGCATGGTTCTTATGAGGCACTAGAAGGTGGGCTTGTTCAGGATGCACTTGTTGATCTTACAGGAGGTGTTGGTGAGGAGATCGACATGAGAAGTTCCCAGGCCCAGTTGGATCTTTCTAGCGGTAGATTATGGTCTCAGTTGTTGCGATTTAAACAAGAAGGATTTCTTTTTGGTGATGGAAGTCCATCAAGCTCTGATGTGAAGGTTTTTTCCAGTAGCATTGTACAAGGACATGGGTACTCGTTACTGCAGGTAAGAGAGGTGGATGGACACAAGCTTATTCAAATTCGAAACCCTTGGGCTAATGAAGTTGAATGGAATGGTCCCTGGTCTGATTCATCTTCGAAATGGACGGATAGGATGAGGTACAAGTTGAAGCATGTTCCTCAGTCAAAAGATGGTATATTATGGATGTCATGGCAAGACTTCCAAATTCACTTCAAGTCAATATATGTATGTCGGGTCTATCCTCCTGAGATGCAATATTCTGTCCATGGACAATGGCGTGGTTACAGTGCCGGTGACTGTCAAGATTATAATTCGTGGCACCAAAATTCCCAGTTCCAATTAAGGGAAACTGATCCAGATGCTTCTTATCCGATTCATGTGTTCATCACCTTAACTCAGGGTGTTAGCATTCTGGAATTTTTGAATGAAAAGATAAGTAAGCTACTCTCTGGTGATGACACTAAGGCAGTCCAGAAAATTATTATCTATATCGGGAATATGTGTGTGAAAGAAACTTCTGCTTTTAATATGAAAATTGCGCTTGATTTGATTTTTAGCCTTTGTTGTTCAAAGGTTGAGGATATTTTAATTGCAGCTGGAGAAGCTCTATCATTTCTCTGGGGTGGTGTTCTTGTAACTTCTGATGTGATTCTCAAGACCAACTTTATTTCACTTTCCATACCTTCAAATTTTCTTTTGGGTGACACATCAATGAAGAAAAACCTGGTTGATGCACTTGTTACCACTTTGACTGGTTTTGGAAAGAGGGAAAGAGCGATCAAGTTGGTTGAATACTCGGAGGTATTTCAAGAGGTCACTATTGGTGAAAGCCTTAGTGGGAGGAAACTTAGCACTTACAAGGAGCTTTGTAATCTTGCAAATGAGATGGGACATCAAGATTTAATTTATAAATTTTTGGATCTGGATAATTATCAAGCCTCACTAAATTCCAAGAGAGGTGCTGCTTTTGGATTTTCTAAGATAGCCAAGCAAGCTGGTGATGCTCTTCAACCACTTTTTAAGAGTATTGATTCCAAGGCTTCGACGTTCTCGTGAGGAATTGTGCCTTTCCCTTGCAGATATTATCCAAGGTCAAAAATTTGATCAGGTTGGGAAGTATTTGAAGAAAATAAGGGTGGTTGCTTTTCGTGCTATGGATGACATCAAAAAAAACTGTGCGAAATGCTGGTGACAAACTATGTCGTGCTGTAGCCTCACTAACAATAAGGCTATGTGATGTGTCCCTTACAGAAGCATCAGATGCAAGCCAATCGATGGATATTGTTCTTTCTATTTTGCTTGCAGTAGGCATATTGAGTAAATTTGACAGTATCAGAAATGCACTATGGGAGTTGTTAGCTTCAATTATAAGAAGGAAAAACCATGGGCAGTCTATGGTTCACTTTATTCTCAAACCCAAGGAAAACATGAATCAAAGGTTAAAGGCATGGGGTGTGAAGGCACAAAGCAAAATGGAAATTTATAGAAATTTGAAGGTCGTCGGGTGAGTTTACTTGAAATTTCAGTCTTACCATCAAACCTCACTTGCTCTTCGAAAGGGATTAAAGCTGGCAGCAAGGTTCTATGGTTCTGTAAGGATCGACAAACGTAGGGAGCAGGAGAACAATCAGATACTGTGGATGAAATTAGAACTGGAAAACATTACGGTGGTAAATTATATTGTACTTCCAGCATAATTCTCAGATTTTGATCATTGGGGACAATGATCATCTCGTGGGGCGGGTATTGTTATGGTCGGAGAAGAAGAAGAACGACAAGGAGAGGAGGATTTGGGAATGGACGAGCGAGAGGAGAAATTGGGAATGGATGTGCAAGGGTTAGGGATTGGAAAATGTAAATTGAGAATTGAAGCACGTGAAGGGCATATGATTAACTTACCAGATGAGTTGGAGCAGGCTGAATGGATCCAGGAAGA